TATGTAAATGATGATCATATAATAATGGATCTAATAGTACAGATAAAAATTGTAGTCCATAGTAAGAACCAAGCATAGACTTTGCATTATTTGATGTCTGTTATCTTATAAGCTAAAATTCTTGGTCAGTTATTTAATGATATCGACCGTGATAATATATATCAAATGAAAGATCAGTTAATTGATCTTTAGATGCTTTACATGCTCTACAACCTTTGAGTGTGTTATGATGCAATGTTTCGGCAATATTATTCTCCTGCGGTAAATCTGCAGTAAAAATATCTAGCCCACCTGTTATCTAATAATTAATTCTATTTATATCCATTATAAACTCTCGCTCAAGTTTTTTAACTTCTTCAAGAAAAGGGTTAATGAAATCTCGAATATCTCCTCCAAATGGTACAAACTCAATAATGAAATGATTACATAATTGCTTTTTTATACAACGCAGCATATTTCCAATCTGTAGATAAATACCACCTAATGAGTATTATACGTTGTGAAAAGTGCCAAAGTTATCATAATATAAATCTAAAAAAAAACTTTAAAACTAGCATATTAGAATTAGGTGATAAATTTATATATATATATTCCGCTAGATGTTGGTTCCAAAATTCAATAGAGCGAATTTTCTAATGTACATTAAAATTATATAAAATTTTATTAATGGATAAATCAAAAAATGGTGGACATTGTTGGTCTTTTAACCAAACAGCAATCTTTCGAAGTAATGATCATGGCTCTATAATATAAAAGCTAGGTTCTTCTACTAAAAACCACTTTTGCTGAGCCCGTAAAGTGTGTTCTTCTGAATATAAACTTCACAGAATTTGGTTATAAGGAATTATTTTTTGTATTTGAACTTTCATCACATTATCTTTAATGACAAATAATTGTATTCGACCACATTCTAAAGAATTTGAAGAAACATATTGAACAAAATCACCGCATTTGAAAGAACCTAAAAATATAGAAAAAATTCTATATAAGTATTGAAACATATTTATCTTTATAAAATAAACTTTTGTTATACATAAGTAATAGTTATTTCCTGTACAGCTAAGTATAACTAATTTCTCCTGTGCCGTCCACATAATATAACTTTCATGTACCTAGTTTAAAGTGAACCTTTATTTTATATATTGTTTTGGTATTTAAGATTAAATAATACAATAACCACATAATTAAATAGATATATGTGTCTAGTAGAAATAAGCACATGTAAAAAGTTACGTAGACGGAGTTGGTCAGAGGATGTAAATTAATATTGATGTCCTTATTTTTAATTACCTTGTGAAGTTATTATTTCTGATTGACCGAAAAGAGGCGACTCAGTCCAAAGATTTCCTTCCTATAACTCTTCACATATTTCAGAATAAATTCCTGATCCAAAATATAATTGAGACCGAATAGTAAGATTTTTCAATATACGTTTAAGATGCTCAATTAATGAGAAATAGTAGACTCTTGTAAAACTTTTAGCAGTATATGGTATATTCTGAGTATTAATTGGAACAATATGACTTTTAATTTGCATTAAAGATAATTTTTCACGATATTTTTTGAGACTTTGTAAATTAGCAATTAGATGACTTTTTTTAAATTGCGGATGAAGTAAAATCTGAATCAAGTCTTGATAAGCAGTTGTTGCTAAAAAAAAACATAAAATTAAAAGTAAGTTTATATCAAATGTATTTAAAATTTATAGAAATGCTTACATATCATGTATTTTGTAACCCACACAAACATCGCCATAGTCGTAAAATTTTTGAAAGTACCAAACTAGCATTCTTGATCCCAAGTTAAATCAAATTTTGTATTATCGAATATTTCTGACAAATTATTAACATCAGTTTCATTATCAGTATCTTGACTTCCCAAATCAGTATCGCAACTCTCATTTTTGTATTGAATATTATCCTGGCTCAAACTATCCCAATTATTATTATTAAATTCATTGTTATTAAATTCATCATTATTAAATCTATCGTTATTAAATTCATCGTTATTAAATCCATCATTATTAAATATATCATTAAATTCATCATGATCAAATTGTAAATTATCAAAGTTCTCATTGATACTAAAGTTATAACCACCAAATTGCCCATCTTCATATTGCAAACTTTGAGATTCATTATTATTATCATTCAAGGTAAAGTTATGTGAATGTGTTAAAAAATTATCTTCATTATTAGAAGATAAATTTTTTGAAATTTTAGGTACTCTTAAGTGAAATTGTGAAGTTTCAGGGTTTTTAAATCGTGAAAGCCTATGTCGAGACATTAAAAGATCAGTCAAATAATTATTTGTTATTATACATTGAAATATATACTTATAAAATTTATCATTAGCATTACATAATACTAAAGTTAAAATATCAATATAAATTCATTCTGTATTTAATTTAATTTTTAAAATTTACAAATAAAAAAGAAACTTAATACTAAAGGAACAAAAAAAAAGAAAATTATTGGTAGATATTTATGATAATAAATATTTTAATAATATTAACAACAATTATTATTTTTAGATTCTTCTTCTTCTGAAGAAGTTTCTAAATCAAGAACTATGTCTAATAAATGTTCAAAAAAGGCAATTAACGAAGGTAGTAATTTATTGCAAAAAAGCTATTCACTAATTTATTTTATTTAATCTTTTTTTGGTTTTTTTTTTAGAAAACTCTAATCAATCTGCTCGTATTCTATCCGAGCAAATAAATTTAAATAACATGATACCAACTAATAATATGACTTGGCCATATCGACAAAATCAGAACTCAGCTCATAATTATATGTCATCAAGTCTCTCGAATCATTCAAGACTATTGCATACTATTGATCCAGCATTAGTTTATAATTCAGATCGTATTCAAACTAATAGCTCGAGTAAATCCAACTTTTTAAACCAAAATGCAGCTTATAATACTACATTATCAAATGAAAATGCAAATAAATTACGAGCCTCATCCTCATTTCATGAATATAGACCCGTAACATCTAGAAATATGATTACACTAGATGAACAACATAGAAATTTATCGCAAGTAACTACTATGTCATTGGATGACATATCAGATTCAAATTCTTTAACGGGCTATGATTTAATGAGCAATCAAGATCAAGAATCTTTCGAAACTCAACAAAATTTTTATAAAGAAAGATTTCAAGACCTATTATACCAGTTCAATGTACATCATATTCGCCATGCAATTTCCACGATATTAATACTTGGGAATCTAACAATACTACACAAAATTATTATGGTCAGAATAGAGAAAAATCTTCAAATACAGATATACAATCCCAACGCACATCACACTCACCAGCAAATTCTCCTAATATGACTATTTAGAAACCTAACACTGATTCACAAAAGTTAAATTTTTCAGATGAAAAATCATTAGTTAACTGGCTATACACACGACCTGATTTAATTGCTCAAGTGCAAAGTTTATTAACAGCTTCTTCACCGCATAAGGTTTGTTCGTTCATCTATATTTTAGTAATGAATTTAGATATTGGTGAATTATAACTTATTAGAGTTTGAAAATTTAGCAAGTATTATAAATATATTAATTATACTACCTTTAAAACTTAGTCTGAAGTAAGCGCTTCAGAACAACTTGATAAGAAACTATCATAAATCTAATTATGGAACAATGCAAGCTTCTATTTCTACATACCTGAAATCCTACTAAGAAAATACGCAAAACACTAATTAAGAAAATCACTCCATCAACGGATTTTGTATCTCGCGAATTCAAAATGTTAAGCAAAAAGACGCGCGAATATTTTGATAATTTTCAACATACATTTAACAAGGATATAGCAGCTCTCGCTAAGGACTTGCTGGTTAAAAATTGGTAAATATAAATTATTATTGCATAATAATTTTTCTTTAATATTAAAATTATTGATTTGTATAGTAATCCAACAAATGAAAATATTGAGCAATTTGTTACTGGCAAAGTTTGGCAACATAAGCTTTACAAATATCTTGATGCGAGTGATTTCACGGAGTTTAAAAAAACTCCACCCTCACTCAAATCTCTTGAAAACTTCATCGCTGAAAGTTTAAAGATTCATGTTGAATATCAGATTGCAGTTCATAATCAGGAAAAGCCATCATATAGTGAAAACGTCTTGGCGAGAATTAAGGAACTTGATCAACTCACTTTTCATTTAACTATTCTATTGGCAAGTCGACATAATTATACAAACGAATTGGATCTTGATCAAGCTAATACTGAATTATCTTCTGATAATGAATAATGGTTTATCTTTATAAATTATCTAACATTTTAAGCAATTATAATGTGTTAGTGAGCTTATGCAACAAACTGTATCAAAATTTAAAAATAATTAATCACAAACTTTCAAATTTATAGAAGAGAAACTTCTCTTCATCTTATATCTAAAGAAAATAAGCTAGTAGTGCTAAAGGAAATAAGTTAATAGCACAAAAAATCTTCATTGCCAAATAAATTAATAAATCTTTGTAAAATTTCGGCCATCGACTTGCTCACATGATCATTTATTCGTTTTGATTAAGAGATTCTTCCCTCTCCCGATTATATTACAACTTGTTTTTTGAATTTTATTTTATTTTAGTATTCAATGTCCAGTTATACCAATTGTACCATTGTTCTCTCATTGACTACTCAATTGTCTTGCTGTGCCAATATCAGGGCATTCTTAGTTTGGAGCCAGATTCGACCTTCGGTTTTACAGCAATGATAAAAATTGACCAATGATCATTCGGCCAAATTCGATAATACCGAATTCAAAAACTTTAAAATAATTCGGATTCAAAAGTCAAATCAGGTTCCAAACTCGATGCACTCTTTTAAAAGCTGTCCCAGCCTTTCACTTTATAACGATAACTATTAAAGTCTATTTAGGGTATTTTTGAGTTTCCTTTCCTATTAATAGCTTTAGTATATTCAACATATTATTGTTCAAAAGCTATAAATACTAACAAAATCATAATGCAGTAGCATTTTAACTTTGCCACTTTTGTCTTTCAACAACGCTTTAACTTTCGGCTGCGCTTTGACCTACATATCAAAGTACTTTTGGCAGTGCAATTTATCACGAAAAAAAAGTTTATACTAAAGCGGTAGCCAATTTTAACATGGCATTAAAAAATTTTTCAAATTTTAAAATAAAAAGGCCGACTTTTAATTTTAAAAACCAACCCGATGATATTTATTTCATTTGAATGGCCTTGAATTTTTTTAAAGTAATTTGGATCCTTACAATAGCATTATAAAATTCTGTAAAATGCTTTTATTTATTGAAAGAATTTCTAAAATTTTTAGCAAACATGAAAGGCTAATAAATTTATTTATAGTTATATAGTAAAGGTCTAGTAAGAACCTATATCTGTAATGTGATATAAAATTTTTTTTTAATTATGCTTATTTTATTCTATAATAATTATTAATTTTGCTAAATTTACGATATTTTAAGGATAATGCAAAAATGAACGATTTTAGCAAAGTAATTTAAGATTTATAATGATTATGTTAATATAATAAAAAGCACCATAAGGGTGTTCTCAAGTAGCTCCCTCAATGCAATTAGCTAGTGATAGGGAAGTTGCTCAAATCATTGTGATCAATTGAAGTAAACCGAAGGACGATTTGCTAAAATTTCATTGTGTGAAATGCGGATTTTGAATTTTACCAGAGCACCTCTATGAAAAAAAAGACGGTTTGCACCTCCGGATTTTTTCATATAAGTGGTAACCTCCTTGACTAATTTATTTATTGCGCTTTCAAATTGCTGTGATCAGCAAATTTCACGTACCCACACTGGGAATCAGAAATCTAAATGCAAATCCGTGATTGGTTAAAAATTATTTTAGCCAATCACGGATGTGCATTTATTTTAGATTTCTGATTCGTGTGATACGTTGAACTTGCTGATCACAGTAATTTGAAAACACAATAATTTCCGATTAATTGAGTGAGGTGCTTGAGAACACCCTTAATCAATAATATGGAATTTTATTGTAATGCGTTGTTTATTTGTAATTTGTAGTTTATTACAAATATCTAAATAATACAGAAGTTCGCTATATCATAATATGTTGAATATTTACATAGTGCGCTGTATGAAGTTAAACGTTCTTATTCTGCATTATATTATCAAAAGGAATAATGCTTGATGACATAATAGATTAAACAATCCGACAAAGAAACCTGTTTGTAAAGATCTTTTAGTTTGTAATAAGTTTTGATTTTTGGGACCTTATATGTGATAACTTTTATTTTGGGCCCTTATTTGTGATTATTTTTAATTACCGGATCCTTATTTGTAAATTCCCTAAAGTAACTTACATCCCATCATCAAATCATCAAAATGTTAAGTTATTTTTTTATTTCGCTTTTTTCATTTTTATAGCTCTTTCTATCCGATGACTAAATCACAAAGATTAATTTTATTTCGTAATATATTTAATGAATTGCTTTCCAAATATCAAGCAGCTAATCGGTTAATAGGCGACGTAAAGCCATTATTGTATGTGAAATTTTGACTTTTTGCATTAAGGTTTTACAAGATTCATTAAATACATAATTGGGAATGCAATAGATCGTTATCATGAAAACAATGCACTTGATACACGTGGTCTTGAAATATAAACAAACCTTATGATTCATTTTATTAAATTTGACCCAAACCTACCTATGTTAATTGGGTTCCAACAAGTTTCCAGAGTTAGATAGTATTCCTTCAATACTCATAGCGTTCAAGAAGCATCTACTACAATCCTCTTTGCAAGTAGGTAAGATTAAGTGCAATTTCAAAAATGCATGAGTTGTCATCCTAGTATTGTAAAATTTTATGTAACATAATTGATTATGCGCTGCATTATGAATAATCTTAAAACAACTTAAATTCCAAAACTTTATATGATACTAATCTAGAATCCATTTAATTTTATTGTAAGTTGAATTTGAACTCAAGTACAATTTACTTATATTTATTTGAAATCAGCTAAGCGGATTTTAAATCTACAATAATTCTATTCCAATGTATAACATATACAAAAGGAAATGCAAGCAACCTCCCTAAATGTAAACTTGTAAAAATCAGATGCTTTTTGATAGCTTGCATTTAATTCAGATTAATTAAATTTCCATTTTATTCATAATAATTTTATTTAAATTATTTGAATAATTATCTTATTCACATTAATTTTTATCATTAATTTATTCACATTAATTTTTTAGCATTGATTTTATTCACATTAATTTTTTAGCATTAATTTTATTCATATTAATTTTTTGGCATTAATTTCATTCACATTAATTTTTATTACTGTTTTCGAAATGGTTGAAAATGGCAAATAATTTTTTTTAGCATACACTTGTACACTCGTATACTCGATTACCTTAGCACGTTGATTTAAGATCGATGCCTGATGTTATGTAATTGTTCTGAACAATTACACATTGATCTTAAATCAATGTGCTAAGGTAATTGAGTATACAAGTGTACAAGTGTATGCTAAAAAAAATTATTTGCCATTTTCAACCATTTTGAAAACAGTGATAATATTAGTTTTATTCACATTAATTTTTTAACATTAGTTCATGATCTGCATAGAAACCAATGAAAAAGCATAGTAAATTGTGGGGATATGCTTACTATATAATTTATGAACTTTTTGGAATCTAGAGTTTCCAAAGAACAAATTATTTTTTACTAAGTAAACCTCTCTTCTACTTGTGATAAAAGTTGTAGAGAAAGAAATTCTAGTTTTAATGGTATTTAAAATGTTAAATGGGCTTGGTGGATTGTGAGATATGATTATTTTAATTTTTACAGCTATATGTTTTCTTCTTTATGTAAACGATGAAAATATATAGTTACAAAAATTAAAATACTTATATCTCATGATCTAATGTGCTGATTTTAGCATTTTAACCACCATTAAAAGTGAGGTTTATATAGTAAAAAATAATTTGTTTTTTAGAAAACTCTAAATTCTAAAAAAGATTAAATTTAATAGTAAAAATTAACTGATTTTTATATAATTATTTATTGGTTCTCATGCAAATCATGAATTGATTTATTTATATTAATTTTGAAAAAATCATTTAATACCAGGAAATATTAGTATTTACCCATATTTTATAATAAAAATAGTTTTTTTTATTAATTTAAGATTATGATGCAGTTCAATTTTAATTTTAAATAGGATTAGATATAATGTCAAAATTTTAGGTTGTACAAGGTTCTTAGGAGTTTTAAATATTTTTAGTTAGTATATTCTGATCTCTGCTTCTTAGTCAATTTTTGAAGTATAACATATTGGATACCAATATCCCCAATATAAATTATAAATATTCTTAATTTTATTTGCATTAATCTATTTATATTAATTGAATATTTTTTATTTATAAGAATTGTTAATTTGTTAAGTTCATGAATATTATATACTGCATTTTACAAAAGTTAAATATACAAGGCATCTACTATTCATTAAACCATCTATCAGGACAATTGCTTGCTTAAATTTTTTGATCTAATATTGTGTGATTTCTCTAAATTTTATTAAACAACACCCTCACAATTTCTTAACTAGAATAAAAGAACATTACACCATAGTTGTCATATAATTATTAAATTATGAAACTTTCTCAACAGCATTCCAAAAATTGCCTAAGTAGAGTTGATCATAATATGATTTTTACAATCAAATTTAATGATACTTGCATGTGGAAATTATAAGAGACCTTCATAATTGTCATGTAAAGGCTCTTATATTATAACATAAAGTCGATCAAAGATTCTTCACGACCAGCTTCACAGAATTAATTTTTTCAATAATACTGGAAGGATAAGATGCTCAAAAGCTCAGATAAAATAGCATATTTTACACCCATTGTGTGAAATTATGATCTTTGTTTGGATTGTTTTGAGTATGCCAAACTATAGCTACTGAGTGTGCTATGTGGCTCGAGTTTTAGGAGCCACTGCATCCAATTATAATCAAAATTTTATAAAAAAAATTTGTATGTTCTATTTTTGTCAAATTATTTAAACGGGCAGATTTGTCGCTATCATGACAGTTTAAGGGATAAGTATAAACAAGTTCTTACAGGTTTTGGCCACAAAATTTGAACAAATTAACAATTAAATTTAAACATAACAACAATCAAATTTAAACATTAAATCAATCAAATTTGAACATTAAAGCAATCAAAATTAAATATAATAACAATCAAATTGAATATAATTAAATCTTAATATTTTATTAT